GTATTTCTTTTTATTAATAAATTTATTTTTATTATTGTATTTTTTTGTATTTTTTTATTATGTAATTTCTTTTTATTATTAAAATTTTTGATATATTTTTTATTATGTAATTTTTTATTATTATTGAAATATGAGTTGTAAAAAAGTTGAGGTGTAAAAAAGTGTAATATGAGTTGTAAAAAAGTTGAGGTGCTTATAAGCAATTTTCATTGGAGCAAAAATTGTAAAAATATAGTATGAGTTGCTTATGAGTGACGTGACACAGTGGGACCCATTTAAAATGGTTGGGAGTTGCTTAGAAGCAACTCCCATTGTAGATGCTCTAATTCACACAAATCTTACTATGTCAAGGTCACACTATCCTTTTCCAGCGTAGGGCCGTGCTCACCCCTGACATAACTATGTGCCAAGGTAACGCTACCCTTTTTAGCAGCCTAGGGTCGTGCTCACCCCTGACATAACACAGTGCCAAGGTCACGCTACCCTTATTAGCATCCTAGGACCGTGCTCACCCCTGGTCATCAGTACGAGAATCCACAATCACATCTCATTCACATTTCATACATCTCATTTCATAACTCAAATTCCATATTACATACAGATAAGTTCACACAATGCAATGATTCACACACCCATCAAGCAATTCACGATGAATACTCATTATAACAATAATATAACAATAATATAAAACTCAATTAATTCACCAATTTAATACAATATTAAATCAAATAGTAAAACTCTCAATTTTTCTAAAACCTAACTCACAGACACTTTTCTACAATTTCGTTCTCTCTCCCAAATCATCATTTTCACAAATTAAATATATATTTCTAATCCTCAATACATGTAAAATCTAATGGGAACCTCAATTCCTCAAACATAAATAATTATAAAATTTTCTTCTAAAACCTAACTTACAGAAACTTTTCTATAATTTTGTTCTCTCTCGCAAAGCATCATTTTTACAAATTAATGATATATTCGTAGTCCTAAATACATACAGAATCACAAAAGACCAATAATTCTCCAAACAGAAATAATTATAAAATTACTCATAATCCTAAGGGACTCTTCCTCTACCCAATTCTCTCATGTAACTCTACATACAAATAATCCCCTTTTCTCCCGTACATGGATAACCAGTAGCTGAAACTAAGGATCTGGTTGATCTCCTCCGTTGGGTTCCCCTCGGTCTTCAGAGAGTGCAGAAGAAGAGAAGAGAGAAAAGAAGAAAAGAAATCAGAAAATGAGAGGTGTGCCTTTTGGGAGTGGCTGAGAGCTCAATTTATAGGCATCAGCCTTCGCCGGAACGACCCATTCCAAATTTGGAACGCCCGTTCTGAACCCTTAAATCGTGGGTAAAAATCACATCCAGAACGGCCCGTTCTCAAACCAGAATGGCCCGTTCTGGTGTGCATTTATTACTCACAACGGTCATATTTTGGAAATGGCCCGTTCCAAGCCCATTCCCATTTAGGATTATAGGCAGTTTTAATAGTCCGGAATGGCCCGTTCCAACTTGAGAACGGCCCGTTCTGGGCTACTAACTCACATTCATTTTGGTAGTTTGAAACGGCCCGTTCCAATTCCGGAACAGCCCGTTCCAAGCTACTAAATCACCCCTATATATTTATAAAATTACCAAAATATCCTCAATAAAAATAAAATAAAATGAAATAAAAACTGGGGTGTTATATATATATATATGGTCAAAGAGATCACGTAACTAAAAAAAGAGCATACTGATTCTTTTCGTAATTTTTCTTCTTAAAATATAGTTTGCCAATTTATTAACCCTCAAGTAAATTGTGCATTATTTTATAAAAGAATATACACTGTCTCAACACTTTTCAATGTATCCAATTTTTTTTTAGTGAAATTCAATGTATCCAGTTTAAAATTTATAATTTGTCATTTTCATGTTCCATATTGAGCTTTATCAAAATTTTGGAAACATCGCAAATTAAATATACTTTTTTAATTAATGGGTAATTTTTCTTTGACAAAAAGCAAAATTCACCCCTAGAGTAAACGACTTTTTCAATTCTATATTTTCTATTGTTTAAACTAAGTTCTTTGAATTCTTCACTGTTTTTAATTTTTTTTTTCTGTAGGCAGTTAATATTAACAATATAAATTAGTGTGATAATTCAACAACCTCGCTTCAAATTTTATGTATTATAAATAAGCTGTGTATTTTGCCTCTGGATTTTAAATGTTAATCGTTATACTATATTTTTTTATTGACTTAATGTCTGCGTTCTCCCCTTCGAAATTGCATAAAGTTAATTTAGTTTTGGTTATCCTAAATTTATCTAAATTTTTTTTTAAAGTAATGTTACATATACAATAAAAAATTATACAACATCACTATTATATTTATCTCTCTCCATCAATTTATTTATTATAGAGAGATATTATTAGTGATGGAGATAAATGAACACAAAAGTAATGTCGTCTAAGTTATTATATATATAACTTTATATTATATATATATATATATATATAGCACACTTAGTCAATGTTCGTATGAAACCCTTTCAATAAACCAATTAGTGATAATCGCGTTTACACAGCAAAGCTTGCTCCACTAAACTTCAGTTGATTTAACAAGTGTTTCATACTTATCCCACTTTAGAGATTTAATTACTTTTAAATGTTTAAAGATAAACTATTGTGGTAAAAAAAAAAACATTTCTATTAACATAAAATATCTTACTCTAACCTGTAGAATGTCCAGACTTGTAAGAAATGTTTCATATTTTTTTTAAGGAATTGATTCCAAAAGATGTGAATTAGTTGGCCACACATTGATCTAGATTCTTAATGGTTGTACTTGTATGGCTGTTTAAAGTTGATTAAGTATTAAGTGCATATTTAATTAACTTATTTCCATCTTCAACGAGATGTATCTTTTTAAAGAAAAATAATCATGTCTTTTCAAAGTAATGCAGTGATAGGTTTCTAATCAGGGTATCTTTCATCTTTTCCTTTTCTTCTTTTTCTTTCCCTCGTTCAATTAGAAGTTATTAATATGTTATGTCCCTGCTTTTCTAAGTAAAGTTGATTTGTACATAAGCTGAGGACACAAGAAGTGGGTTAGTGGGTTACAAGCTCACAAATAAATCAACTTTAATCAATCCTGACATGGATGCATTTTCAGTATTTGTTGGGCAAATGCAGCACAAAAATGTGGGGACACGTCTAATTCAATAATTGATTCAAAGAGAGATAGATTTAAGCTGGATAATATTTTATTTCTTTTTCAACTATATTCTTGTATAAATAAATAAAAATTAATGATGTGACAATATAATTAAATTTTACTATTATTCAATCACAATTATAAATTTATTAACTTTTATAATCACTATCTTACAATTCATATAAACTGTAATTTCTGATTTGTTGATTGTGTAAATAAATTTACACCGACAATATATTATTATTATTATAATGTAAATGAGTTGTCATGAGATAATTTTTCAGGAAATTAAATAAAGAAAAACTGAACCAATATAATGTGATATGATAGTATTAGAGTTAAAAGCGAAGGTAAGAAAAATTAAACTAATACTAGTATTATGTAATATTGTAATATGACAAAGGGAAGAAAGATGAACCAAGTTATCTTTCAACAAAAGGCAGAACTAAAAAAGTGAAGTCGTTGGTGGGGACTCATGTAGTTGTTGTTTACGTTCCTACGTAATTCCATGATTTCCATATCTTTATCTGTTGTCCCATGATTCCTACACAGTCGTGCTTGATGCTAAGTTTGACTGTTTGGAATTCTCAGGCTCATCTGCTTTAAAATTATGTATAATTATTTTTTATATAATTAATCTTAAACTATTACACATAATTAAAACGAATTAATGTCTAATTAATTTAACAACAAATTTATATTAGAACGTGCATTTTTCAATATTAAAATAACCAGGAAATTAATACATGCCTGTATGGTACTTTTGACTAGGGAGGCAGACTTCAAGTTTTAGATCAACTAACAAACAAGTTTAACTCAATTAATTGAATAAAATAGATGAGTTGTTTGTAAACTTCTTTATACTATGTTTGATTTTCATAAATTAAAAAAGATTGAGTAGCAAGTATTTTACAAGCTAACAGTTTGTACATTATAGATTTTTTCGTAAGAAAATGAAGGATCAAATCCTGTTTGATTCGTCGAGTTACTAACAAGTGATAGGATAGCACTAGCAGCTGCCAATTAATGTGTTTACTGTAGATCATCGGCACTCAAACTTTCACATGTTACAATTGATTTGAGTAAACCATTACAGCAGGATCTTCTAGAAAGAAAAAAAAAAAAAAAAAAAAAAA